CTGATAGATAAGACTAGCCTTGAGAGATTAAAGAAACAATGGGATGGATTCCACTGATTGATGAATGGAGAAAGATATTTGCCTTTACAAACAAACTGTAGGTTTGCTGATAAATTAAACTGGATATTGAAAGATGAAAGAAGCAATGGGGAAAAACCATGAATTCTATGAGAATTAAAAACTAAAAAGGAGGGTTATACCTTAGAGGGGAATCTTAGGTATCAGGCATTCTGAGAAGTCTGTACCTCTCAAGTACTTCAGCCAATGGGGAAAGAGAGAAGGAAATGTGGCCAGAAAAATATGATGAAAAGGAGGCTGCGTCCTCCAAAAATTTTAGAAACCCCAGGGGAAATGCCCCATGGCCTCTCCCTTTATTCAAATAAAGTTACAGGACTCCTCAGTCTCCTTTTTGGACATAAACCTCTGGTGTTTGTGGATTAAATTTCCTGACACCAGGCTCCTGTCATGGTCTGGCCTGTCACACAGGGAGGCTGTGCCTATGGAATTACCCTGCTTTGGGACATGGATAGTGCCTGCTGCGCTGCAGGGACCTCTCAGCACTCTGTGCTGCAGGTATGTTCTTTGTGCCTGCAAGGGACATGGAGCTGTCACAGCAGGGTGACAGCCCGAGTCTGGAACACACACATTTTCAAGGAAATTCTGTGCTAAAGCTTTGGCCTCCACCAGGCAGGTTCCAGCCATCAGCAGAGCCAAGCACTGCTCTGGAAGGTGTGAAGAGGCTGGGAGGCATGAGGAGGAGAAGGGAGAGGGAGCAGAACAAAGGGAGCCAGTTGAGCAGCACGGCTGCAGCTCCTCAGGCCAGCGCTGCAGACAGGCCCAGGGGGTACCCAGGGCAGGATGAAAGAGCTTTTGTTTACTTTCATGAACACAAAAACCTGATTTACTGTTCCCCAGTGCCAAGAGATCAAAATGATCCTGGACTGGACACTGTGAGTCTCACAGCCCGGTTTCACTCCCGTGTTATGGTGTTGCCTAAAGGATTCTCTTATCACTGGCTGCAGAGTTACTCTAGGTTTGTGTGCTGCTCAGGTGTACCTGCTTGTTATTCACCCCCATGGTCAGGGGTATTTAATGACAAAAATCCTTTCAACTCATGTTTTTGCAGCTGTGTAATACAGAGAATTCAAACTACTTGGGCTTACATACTTACTGCCGAGGCCTCCTTCTTTGGGCTGCAGACCCAAGAGCTTGGGTTCTGTCTTTCCTAACTTCTAACTTTCCCAAGTGCTGCTACCTAGAAATCCTGTCATTCCTGTGACTGCAGGGACAGAAAACTGCTCATTTTCTGGGAGCACAGTGCCTGGGTTTGGACACTGTGCTCTGGCAGAGTCTCCTAGCTTCAGTGTAGCTTTGAAGCTCCTGGAGCAGCTCCTTGTGTTCCTACCACTGCATAGGGAACTCAACTCACACAAGAATTAGGGAGGTAGGGAAGGATGGCAGAGGCAAATCAGTCACTCCTTGCACTGTTTTACTCTTGCTCTCCCCTGCTGTGTTCCCATCTCCAGCACACGTGAACCAGGTTCAGAAGTGAGGCTCATATTGCAGAACAGGAAATGTGAAGAAATTTCAGACTGAAGACTCTGCCCCACAATCTCCACCACCATCTCCAAGCCACTCGCAGCCCAGGAGGGAGCTCAGCAAGCCAGATTAGTGAAATGATCCACTTCAGACACTTATCTAGAGCTCTACTTCCAAAAAAATATTTTCAAGTATCTCATGTACTTTATGTATGACAACCCGTTCTATGCTTATAAAAGCATTTAGCTTAGTATCAATATCGACCATTACTAAATCCTTTCTGCTTTTGGCCAGTTCAGACCTGGTATCAGGGAAGGGATCTGTGGCAGCCAGAGCCCCCGAGCCCAGCCTACCTGCCCATCGGAGTCGTAGCCCCAGCCCCGCGCTCCGGCCCGGCCGTCGGCCTCGCGCCGCACCCCGCTCAGGACAAAGTGCCAGGCCCGGCTGCTCCGGGGGCGCCGTGCCATGCTGGCCCCTGACAGGTAGGCTGGGGAAAGAAACACGAGGTTACACTTCTGCCATGTCCCTGGGTCACCAGACCACCTCCCAGCGGGACCAGCACAAGATCAGCTGATGCATAGAAGTTCTATCTGCACCAAGAGCCTCTGCAAACTTCAACCTCTTGCCCCACCCAGGGTCAACTTCTCCCTGAGCCAGGTGTTCAAGTGGCCCCTAGAAATGCTCCCCATATCCAGCAGTGCTGGCAGCAGCTGTCCCTCTGCAGGAACTGGATCCAGCAGGATCTCACCTGGGCTGGGGAGCTTCAGGGCTGTCAGAATCACAGAGTCCTTTGGGTTGGAAGCACCTTCAAGCTCATCTCATTCCACCCCCTGCCATGGGCAAGGACACCTTTCACTAGACCAGGCTGCTCCAAGACAGCCTCCCTGGTACCCAGTGACCCTCCAGCAGCTGTCCTGGCCCCAGCCCCCCTGCAGCCCGTCTGTCTCCAGGGAAGGGTATCCACCTGCAACTGCCCTCTGATGGAAGACTTAGCTCTCAGTGTTTGGACAGGAAGAGAAACCACTTTCCTGCTCACTGGAGGGAAACCAGGCTTGTGACAGACTTGTCCCAGCTTGCCTCAAGGACAACAGGCAGAAGGGAAGCAACTGCCTGTCTCCCAGTCCAACAGGGGGGTTTAGAGACAGATTTCCTGAGGCTCCTTCCCTGTGCACAGCCTGACAGACCACACCAGCTCCCAGCTCCCACACAGAACCACTGCACTGGATGTGACAGGGAAACCTCAGCTTCCAATCTCATCTGCCTGAAGTTTATCTTTGCAGGATTCAACTCCCCACCAAGAGGCACCCTCAGGGCTGTAACCCTTGAACCCTCTCCCTCAGCTCAGCCCCAAGCCAGAGCCTGCCATAAAACACCTGGCCCTGTTCCTCCATCCCCAGTGGAACTGCAGCTCCTGGAAAAGCAGAACACACCAAGCCCCAGCTAGCTGGATGCTTTGATGGGCTCTGGAAATCCCACCTGCTGAAATCACAAGGCCTTGCACAGCCATGCTGGGAAAGCACCTAAAACCATAGCAGAAACCCTTTCTCCAGCTTTGCTGAGCACCCCTGGCAGCCCAGCAGTGCCCTCTCTAAGGCTGCAGCTCAGAGTCAGCACAGAGATCCTAGCAGATGATCCAGCACTGATGGCAGAGTCAGTCATGGAATCATCATGGCTGGAAAAGATCTCTTGGATCAATGAGATTCAAATCATTCCCCCAACACTGCCAAGGCCACCACTAACCCATGTCCCCAGGTGCCACATCCACATGGCTTTTGAACCTCCCTGGGGACCCCACCACTGCCCTGCACAGCTCTGCCAGGGCCCGACCACCCTTTCCATGAAGACATTTTCCCAATATCCAATCTAAACCTCCTCTGGCACAACTTGAGACCATTTCCCTTTGTCTTGTCCCTGTTCCCCGGGAGCAGAGCCTGATCCCCCCTGGCTGTCCCCTCCTGTCAGGGAGTTGTGCAGAGCCAGAAGGTTCCCCCTGAGCCTCCTTTTCTCCAGGCTGAGTCCCTTTCCCAGCTCCCTCAGCCTCTCCTGGTGCTCCAGCCCCTTCCCCAGCTCTGTTCCCTTCCCTGGACACGCTCCAGCCCCTCAGTGTCCTTCCTGACCAGAGCTACCCCTAGGACTGGAGATACCTCAGCAGCGCCAGCAGAGGGGACGGCCACTGTCCCGCCCCTGCTGTCCCGGCAGAGCTGCTACAAAAGGCCGCTTACCCCTGCGGGGCCCTGGGCTCGCTGAGGCCTGTCCGGGGGCCCGAGGCGATGCTGCGGCGTGACCCACACAGCCCCAGCGCTTCCCCAGGACGGAGCGGCGCGGGGGGACCACAGCGAGGGGCCCGGCCCTGCTCTCCGTCCGCGGAAGCAGCAACTCCACCGGGGGCGGGCACTGGAGCCGTGGCTGTCCCGGCAGCTGAGGCCAGCCGGACAGGACCAGGTTAGGCCACCGCGCTTGGGTCGCCTAACCCTGGCCCGCCCTGAGCCAGAGCCAAACCCCAACCCTCGAATCTCACCTCCGGCCCGTCCCCCGAGCCCCCGGCCCACCTGCCCAGCCCGGCCCGGCCCCGCGGCGCTCTGACCTATTTTCCCCTCCCGGGACATAAACAATCCGCTGGCGCCACCGCCCCCAGGCGCCCATTGGCTGCGGCCACGCGGTGCCCGTTGGCTGTTGGCTGAGCGCTCTGTCACTCACAGGCGGAGGGGGACGGAGGGGGTGGGGTCTGAGGCAGCCCGGTACTATTGGCTATTCCGTGTGCCAATCGCGAGAGAGCGGCGCCATTGGGCGGCCGCTTGCGAAGGGAAAGCACTAAGTCCATTGGCTGATGCGAGGGAGCTGGAGGAGTGGATTGGCAGCAAAGCCCTGGGAGGGCGGGTCTCCGGGTGAGAGCGCGGCCTTCTATTGGGCACAGCACCTGTCAGTGTGAGGGGGCGGAGCCGCAGGCCGGCGGAAGACGGAAGCGGGAGATGCAGCGAGGCAACATGGAGGAGACGGCCGGCGGTGAGCGGCGGGGAGGCGATGGTGGCTTGGGGGGAACCTTACCCGCCTCGTGGGGGATATCCCATCCGGAATGGCCGGGCCTAGAGGGGGGTCAGGACCCAGTTCCGCGGAGTTCCGCGGTGCTCGGGCGGAGCGGGTGCCGCGGTGTTCGGCCTGACTCGCGGTGAGGGGAGCTCCGGGCCGTGCCGAGCTCACATAGGCGGTGGGTACCGCTTACCGGGAGGTGATGCTGAGCCTTGCTAGAGGCCCGGGCCCGGCTCCCGCGGCAGACAACGCCGAGTAACCGGGCCCGGTGCGGGGCTGCCGCTGTCACTGGGCCGTATCCCGGGACCACCTCGCTCTGGGGCCCCGTCTCGCCCCTCCCCGGGCCCCTTCTCATCCCCTCCCCGTTGTGGGGCCCGTGGCCTTTACCGTCAGCGGAGGTGCTGATGAGCTCTGCCATGGTGCGTGCGGGCTCCATGCCGCCGGTGTCGCTGTGCTGCCGGGCCAGCCCCCGCGGTGACTCCGTGCCCGGTCGTGTCGGGGCGCCCGGAACGCGGCCCCGGGTGGGCGAGTGGCGTTTGCCGGCTGTGGCTGGAGCTCCCCGCTGCCCCCTGTGCTGCCCCGGGCCCGAGCGCTCCCTGCTCTGGGGAGCTCAGCCCAAAGCAGAGCCGGGAGCGCTGACAGCTCAGCAGGGAATGGAAAAGGCTGGAGAGGACTGGCAGGAAGCGACTGTTGTGGCATGGAGGAAGGAAACGCCAAGGGCCTGAGCTCACCATCAGCCTCCGGCCATGCCCGGGTTAAGCCTCACGAGCCCAGAGCGTGTTTATTGCTCTGCTGCCCAATTGCCACTGAGGTCATCAGGACAAGCCTTTGCTCCCCACACGCAGTGTTTATTGCCATTGTTCTCATTGTCCCTTTTCTGATGATAAAAAGGCTGTGGCACATCCACCTCTTCTTTCCCGCTGCCTTACACTGAGGTCAGAACTCACGAAGGTTGCAGCTCTGCCCGAGCGGCAGCTCTGATCTCTGCTCCCTGTGACAGGGACAGGACCCAGGGAACGGCTGGAGCTGTGCCAGGGGAGGTTTAGGTCGGATATCAGGGAAAGGTTCTTCCCCAGAGGGTGCTGGGCACTGCCCAGGCTCCCCAGGGAATGGGCACGGCCCTGAGGCTGCCAGAGCTCCAGGAGTGTTTGGACAGCACTGCCAGGGATGCCCAGGGTGGGATTGTTGGGGTGTCTGTGCAGGGCCAGGGGATGGACTGGACGATCCCTGTGGGTCCCTTCCCACTCAGGATATTCCATGGTTCTGTGATATGCTTGCAGAGCGAACCAACCTGGCCGGGGTGCGGCACATCCTGCTCGTGCTGTCCGGGAAGGGCGGCGTTGGGAAGAGCACCCTGTCCACCGAGCTGGCCCTGGCGCTGCGCAGCGCTGGCAAGAGGGTGAGTGAGGTTTGGGGTGCTGAGCTCTGGCCTTTCCCTTCCAGCCTTCAGCTGGACTAGATTTTGTCCACCTTTTTCATGTGGGTGTCCTCGGTGGGCAGCGTGTGGATTCTCTGTGAAAATGGAATTTGTGATAGTGTAATCGAGTTCAGGTAACTGGATCAGATACTGCAGTTCATTTCTCTTTTATCTATTTTATTAAATCATCTAGTATTTATTGTTGAAATTGACACTGGGACATGACTTTGCTACTTTGTGGTGTCACCCTCACTCCTTCTGTGGGGTGTAGTGGGTGAGCTCAGAGACTCCTAAAACGGGGGTAAAAAGGATATGTGTGGGCAGGAGACAGACTGAATTCCCTGAGGGTCTTTTTAAAGGCTCTGTGCAGCCAGTGCCACTTGGGTTCTGGCATAAAGCACTTGAAACACTCAGGAGATGCACCTTGGGGAGAAGGAGGTCAGGAGGGATATGAAATTTAAAGCATTTGTGTTTCAAATGTGGCTGCTGAGCTGCAGAGGCTGTTGTGGAAGTGCTATGAGCAGCCCAAATTTGGGTGGTCGGGGGTTCCTGAGCCCACCCTGCTGGGCCTTTTCCCACCCGTTTTCCCGTTTTTGGTTTTTTTTTTTTCCTCAGAAATCCCCAGAATCTCACTGCAGCTTGGGGCCATTTTTGGGTTTTTTTAGTGCAAATTTTAGGACTTTTTGGGCCATTTTTAGCGAGATTTTTGGAACATTTTTGCATTTCTTAGTGCGAATTTTTAGGGATTTTTCTGGTTTTTTAGGCTGAATTTTTCCTGGGTTTTTCCCAACGTTTTTCCCAGGAATCCTTGGAATTTTGCAGGTTTGGTGTTTTAGTGCAGATTTTAAGGCTGTGCCTGTCCCCAGGTGGGAATCCTGGACGTGGACCTGTGTGGCCCCAGCATCCCCCGCATGCTGAGGGTGCAGGACAGCGCCGTGCACCAGTGTGACAGTGGCTGGGTCCCCGTTTTCGTGGGCCAGGACAAGGCCATCGCCCTCATGTCCATTGGCTTCCTGCTGGAGAGGCCAGACGACGCCGTGGTGTGGAGGGGACCCAAGAAAAACGGTAACACTGGGATTTGCTGCTGGTGAGCTCTCCTGGAGAGGTTATTCCTTGAGGGAACAAAGCTCCTGTTCCACAAGGATGGGTTGGAATCACTCAGGTGGGGAGAGTGCCGTACATGTGCTGGCAGACAGCCTTGTTCCCTTTCCCTAGGGCCTTGTCCCACAGCTCCCAAGCCACCTGCTGAAACCTCTTGTGGTTTGGGTTTTTTTATCTGCCTCTTTTATTTCCACAGCTTTGATCAAACAATTTGTCACCGATGTGGCCTGGGGGGACCTGGACTTCCTCATTGTGGACACACCACCAGGCACATCTGACGAGCACATCTCCACTGTGGAGGCCTTGAGGCCCCACCAGCTGCTTGGAGCAGTCCTGGTCACCACACCTCAGGTGGGACACGGGGCTGGAATTCCTGGCAGACAGCAGGTTTGGAGGGGGGAAAATGTGCCCCAGGTTTCCACAGGGCTGTCTGTGCATGCTTGTTCTACACATCTGCTCTGGAGCCACAGTCAGCGTGGCCAGAGGGATCCCCAATCGCTGCTGTTCCCCTCAGGCCGTGTCCGTGGGGGATGTGAGGCGGGAGCTGACGTTCTGTAGGAAGGCAGGATTGCGGATCCTCGGAATCGTGGAGAACATGAGTGGCTTCGTGTGCCCCCACTGCTCTGTGAGCTCTCCTGACCTTATTGTCCAGCCTTGGGGTGTTGTGGGCTCTTTCCTGTGGTAGTGGGGTGCTGAGCCTTGGGTGGAGAATTGGGAAATGCCATGAGGGTGATGCTGTGAGCCAGGGAGAGGAGACGCTGCCAGCTTTGGGCTCTGCTCTCCTGAGGAGCACTGGGAGAGGGTGGAGACACAGGGAATGCCTGGGGCTGGAGGGTGGAGGGGAGCTGGCTCTTCCTCAGAGCCTGGCAGCTCCTGCTGTGTCACACGAGGTCTGACCTTCCTGACTCACTGCTCTTCCTCCTTTAGGAATGCACAAACATCTTTTCCAAAGGAGGAGGCGAGGAGCTGGCCAAGCATGCCGGGGTGCCCTTCCTGGGTGAGTGGCTCTGGAGCAGAACTCTGCTCAGGGCTGATCTCGTGGTGCTCTGGGAGGGCTGAGCACAGAGAAGGAGCCTCACAGGGGCAGGTGGGCTGGACTGTGAGCCCCCGGCACCTGGGTTGATATTTGCTTCTCTGCCATCCAGACTGATCATAGTGGGGTCCTGGCCCTGCTAGGGCAGAGATGGTGATGCCAGCAGCCTTGTCTAATTGCTGACATCATGGTGACAATGTAAACAGGCCTGGGGCTCCTTGAGAATCATGTTGGAATGTCTAGAGCCTTCCTGAGAAACGGGGTCTGAGGGCTGAACCCAGTCCCTGGACAGGGCTGGAGTCAGGTGGGAGAGCCTCTCTCATGAAGCACCAGGGTGGGGTGGAGTCTTGGACCCAGAGGAAGTGGTTACTGGTGAGAATTATCTCCAGGAGAGCTCAGGGAGGGCAGTGGAGCTCTTTTCTACCACTTTCCCTGGAGATGACTGTGGCAGTGTGGTTTTTATCCCAGGCTGCAGACCTTGGCCGTGCAAGGAGCGAGCTCTCACTGTCCCCTTCCCTGTCCCACAGGCTGCGTCCCCCTGGACCCCCAGCTCAGCCAGAGCTTGGAAGAGGGCAAAGACTTCATCCAAGAGTTTCCCAAGAGCTCTGCCTTCCCTGCCTTGACTCACATTGCCCAGCAAATCTTGGATACATCGCAGAGGAGCTCCTGAGGAGGCTGTGGAGCTGGACTGGTGCCAGACTGGCAGCCCCAGCAGCAGGAAGGAGATGCAGGAGCTGTTTAACTCCAAGTGCTCACTGAGGTGTGAGAGAGGGAGGGAGGGGGAGCACAGATTCCTGCTGCAGCTGGCAGTCCCAGAGGGAAGTAGCTGCATCCCCTCAGACTCAAAGACACTCTGGAGCTGCAGTGTCGAGTGCTGCTCTTCCCTCAGCGTTCCCACATGGCTCTGATCACCTGGATTATGGCTCCATGTGCTGCTGCCTTCTCCTGCTGCCCCTACCTGATCGATCACACAGGACTTGCTTCAGTGGCTGAGTCCTGCTGGGTGCTCCCATGTGCAGCCAGGCCAGGCCCCCGTGCTCGGAATTCTTGGCTCACTGGTTCCTGATGGGCTGGTGAGGGCACAGCGTGGGCTGGGCGTGAGGAAATGCCTTCAGGAGCTTCTGGGAGCTGCATCCCATCGTGCTGGAAATGAGCCCTCAGGCCTGCCGGGTTTGTGTGACTCAGGAATATTTTTCAAGGTTCCAAGCAGTAAAAGCTTTTCTTAAAATGCAAGTCTGCGACTTCTGTTTTTCCATGGCCTCAGGCCTTGCTGTATCTCAGTCTTGGCCCTTCAGGTGCATCAAGGTGCTTCCTGCTTTTCCCTGGTTTCCTTGCCTGAATTCAGCTAAATCTCTCCTATAACAGGAGATCAGAATCCAGCCTGTCCCTTGTCTTGCTGTGAGCCAGCCCTGGCAGCCTTTCATGGGATGCTTTCTCCATCCCCCCAGACTGGGGCTCCTCTGTGTCTCGAAGTGGTTCCTGCTTCATTCACTTCCCAGTGTCCTGTTTCCTGCACCTCTTCCCATGGGCTGCTGCTCCCATGGGACCTGCCCTCCTCTTGCAGGCTTGAGTGAAGCTGGGAAGCAAAGAACGTGGTGGCTTTGTATCTCATCTCCCTCCCTCCTGGACTCTGAGCCCCTCCTGCCTGCCTCCCTCTCTACTTTGGGACTCATCCTCACTGAGGTTTTGGGAAGACAGGGAAATCCTGGATTTCACTAATGAAACTGGATTACAGCAGGCAGGCCCTGCCTGGAGCAAAGCAGGAGGAGCATCCAGCCCTGCTCCCTCTGCACAAGGACCCACACCCATGCAGCTTTCCCCTCATGCAATTTTCCAGGAAAATTTTGTCTGACCTTTGGACACTTATCTGGGATTTGGAGAGCTGGGCAGTAGCGCTGGAGTCTGTCAGGGCTGTTGGCTTCTGTGGGATAGCTTTGGGATAGGGCATTTCTTGCTCGCTCCCTGGGAACGTGCCACCCACCCTGGGCTTGCAGGAAATGCTGGGAGCCCCCCAGGATCCCTCTGAATTCCCTGAATCCCTCACCCTGAGGGGCTCTGGGGAGAAATTCCGGCCGGGGCAGCACGAGCTTTGGAAAAAACATAACTTACAAGGTGGGTTGCAATAGCTCCAAAGGTTTATTTGTCTGCTGCCATTTATCAGGTGAGCAACGAGTGGCTTTCTGTGCCCTGCCTGCACCTGCTGCTGCAAGGAATCATTACAGCAAGTCCTCTGCCCCCTTCCCTAAACTCTGGGGGCCTTTTAGGATTTCTCCACTGCTCCATGGCAGGAAAATGCTTTGTTTTGTCTCATAAAAGTCCTGGCCGGGGCTGCAGGGCTGGGGGTGCAGCATTCCCCCATCCAGAGATTCTCCTGCTGGGAGCAGCCATGCTCTGCCCTGGGGGCTGCTATTTAAATAGTAAAGGACTGAAATACTCAGTTTGAAGCCCAGGGGGCTGGTGCCCATCCAGCATCTTCTGAGCAAGGCTGGCAAATCTGTGCTCATCTGGGGTGGCCACAGAGCCCCAGCTGTTGCTGCTGCTGCCCCAGGGAGGCTGGGCCAGGGCCAGGGCCAGGGAGGTGGCAGATGAGGGTCCCTGAGGGCCAGCCCAGCTCAGCAGTGAGCAAAGCTCTCCTCGGCAGTGTCACGGAGGTCCAGCCCCGCCAGGCTCGGGGGGTGCAGGCAGGTGAGGTTGTTGTAGGTGTAGATGGGGACGTGGGTGTCGTCCCCCTCGGCCACCGACTGCACGAAGCGCGGCAGCACCGCCGGGTGCTGCAGGGAGAAGTCCCGCAGCCCCTTCAGGGAGCAGTTGCAGTTCCAGTTGTTGCCCCCCAGCCAGAGCTGCTCCAGGGTGAAGGGGGGGCGCAGGAATGCCACCGAGAAGGTCTCCAGGGAGTTGTTCCTCAGGCTGAGGTACCGCAGGTTGGCCAGAGGGGAGATGATGCTGTTGTCCAGTGTCTCCAGCTGGTTGTGGGAGAGGTCGAGCCAGAAAAGTCTCTGGAGCGGGCTGAAGGTGTCCTGGGAGATCTCCAGGAGCTGGTTATAGGAAAGGAAAAGGTACTCCAGGTTGCTCAAGCCCATGAAGAGCCGGGGTGAGAGGTGGCTCAGCCTGTTGTGCTTCAGGTCGAGCTCCAGGAGCTCGTGCAGTTCGCTGAAGCTCTGGTCCTCGATGACAGAGATGCTGTTGTGCTGCAGGAAGAGGCGCCGCAGGCTGGAGAGCCCGGAGAAGGTGTTGGCCCGGATCCTGCCCATGCAGCTGTGCTCCAGGTGGAGGCTGTGCAGCTTGGTGACCCCCTTGAAGACAAAGTCAGGCAGGACCTTGATGCAGTTGGCAGACAAGTGCATCACGGCCACGTTGTGCAGTCCCAGGAAGGCCCCGGCCCTGATATCCTGCAGCTGGTTGTTGTTGAGGCTGAGCACCTCCAGCTGGCCCAGCCCCTCGAAGGTCCTTTCTGCCAGGCTCCGGATCCGGTTGTGCCCCAGCTGCAGCTCCTCCAGGAACTGCAGGTCCTTGAAGGTCCTGGGCCTCAGGCTGGTGATGGAGTTGGTGGACAAGCGCAGGACGTGCAGGCTCAGGAGGCCCAGGAAGGTGTCCTCATAGAGCGAGACCAGGCGGTTGTGGGACAGGTCCAGCCAGCGCAGGGACTTCATGCCCATGAAGGCGCGGGGCGCGATGGCGTTGATCTGGTTGTGGTTCAGGTACAGCTTCTGCAGCTTCTGCAGCTTGACAAAGATGTTGATCTTGATGCCCTTGAGCGCGTTCCCGCTCAGGTCCAGCTCCTTCAGCTCGGTGAGGCTGCAGAAGAGCTGGTGCTGAAGGTAAGGCAGCTTGTTCCCGGCCAGGATCAGCTCCCTCAAGTTGGGCAGGTCATGGAACACCTTGTCAGGCAGCACCACCAGCGAGTTCCAGCCTAGATTCAGGTACCAGAGGTTGGAGAGCCCGGCAAACAGCCCTTCCTCCACCTTGCTGAAGTGGTTGTTGTTGAGGCTGAGGGACACGAGGTTCTGGGTGTGCAGGAAGGTGTGCGGGGCCAGGTGCTTGAGGCGGTTGCGCTCCAGGTGCAGGTGGTAGAGGCTGCGCAGCCCGTGGAAGGCGTGCTGCTCCACGGAGCCCAGCTGGCTGCTCTGCAGGTCCAGGAAGTCCAGGGCCGATAAATTCCTGAAAGCAGCGGCCGGCAGCAGGGTGAAGTTGTTGCCGTCCAGCCACAGGGCTTTGGCGTTGTGGGGCACGTCCTCGGGCAGCCGTGTCAGGTTGCGGCCGCTGCAGAACACGTTCAGCTCCTCGCTGTAATCGTCCAGGTTGCAGGCGCAGGCGCTGGGGCAGCGCGGGCTGTCCCCGTCCCCCGGCTCCTTCGGGGGGTCCCCGGGGGGCTGGGAGGCGGCAGCCAGCAGCAGGGCCAGGGGGAGCAGGAGGGGGATGCCTGCTGGGGGTGGAGGACAGGGGACACAATCAGTGTGGCAGTGCAGGGCTGTGGCTGCTGCAGGGGATAGCCTTGGGACCCCTTGGGGCTCGGTGTGGAGGCTGCTGCACACACGGGGCAGCTACGGGAGTTTCCAGGGCCTGGATCCCTTGGGAAACGGTCCAAGATGGCCCCCCACTCCTGCCACAGCTCTGAGCCCTCGGGTGCAGGGAGCCCCTAAATTCATTTCTGTATTGCAGCGGCAGCTTCTCCCTTTCATGGGGAAAGACTCCCAGACCCCTCTCCCCCCCCCTCCCCAGCTCCCCTGTGAGTCCCTCAGCGCTGAAGGGTCTCAGTTCCGCGGTCCCTGCCCATCCCTTCACTCCCCATCCACATTTGGGCTCTGCCTGTAGCCCTCCCAGGCAGCTCGGGGACCCCCAAAATGTCCTGTCAGCAGCGGAGGAGGAGCAGAGTGAAGGGTGACTGAGCCCGGGCAGAGTCTGAGCGTGTCCCCCCCAGTCCCTGCCTGTCCCAGCCCCAGCTCCAGCCTCACCTTTGCCTGCGCTCATGGCGGCGGGCAGGGCAGGGCTCCTGCTCCCGCTGCCGCTCCGCTCTCCGGCCCCTCCGACTGCGCAGGGATGGATGGAGCAACCACCTTGACGCCTGTCCAGCCGCCCGCCCGGCCGGGCTTAACCCCACTGCTGCTGGCCCGGGCCCTGCTGAGCGCCGGGGACAGGGACACCGGGACGGGCTCCTCGCTGCTCTGGGACCGCCTTTAGGGCAGCTCGGGACAAGGGCATGGAGCGAGATGTCCAGGAACCTGATGGGGGTCCTGCCGGAGATGGGGTTTGTGTGCGCTTTGAGCGTGGAGGGAGGAATAGGGCAACCTCACAGGGTGTCCCACCAGCGTGCCCTGGGCTCCTGGAGGGTCCTGAGCAGCAGCACCGACCCTTCTCTGCCCTGCTCTGCCGGCGATGCCCTGGGATAAGCCCTGGCAGTGCATCCTCACTTTCCATCAGGACACAAAAATCACGCCTCGGGGCTTGGAGCATCCATAGGACACGGGGATTAAAGGTTTGGGGATCAGCCTTAGTGCGAGATGGGCTGAAACACCGGAGGGTTGATGGTGATGCAAGTGGGAAATGAGTTGGGAAACGAGGAAAAACTCTTCCCAGTGTGGCACTAAAAACCTCCGGGGCGGAGCCCTCAGCCCCTCCTGGGCATTTTCCCATTTTCGCTCGTGTCTTGCCCTGTGGCTGGGGTGGTGCTGGGAGCTCTACACCCTGCTCTGCCCAGTGCTTCTGTGCCCAAAGGGAAACAGAGAACAAAGCCAGGGCCCCCTGGTGAGGTGGTGGCTGTGGGGGTCCCCTGCTCCTCTGCCAGCCCCCCTCCAGTGGGATGAGGGTGGGTGATGCTCCAGGGCTGGCAGATCACACTCTGCCCCTGGCAGCTCATCAAACCACCCCGGGGAGGCCGCTGACCCCATCCCGTGTCCAGGTTATTTCCCCACCAGGCTCCAACACAGGTTCTGTGGAATCTTTTACCAGTTTCCAGGAAAGAAAAAGAAAGAAAAAGCCCCTGCAAGAGGAGCCCTGTGGCCAGCAGCTGCCAGATAGAAAAGACATGGCTAAAACTTCCCCTGTCCTGGTAGCCCCACTCCTCCCTGGAGCTGCACCAGGTGGGCACCACTCCCACCCACAGCTCCAGGAGCAGGGATCTCTGCCCTGGGGCTGCTCTTCCCAGCCCTGCTACCCCCAGGCTGGCTCCCAAGCAGCAGGTGGAGCAGGGATTCTTTCCCACACCAGGCTCCCCTCTTGCCCCTTCCCATGGGAGCCTGGCATTTCCCGAGCTCACAGGGCACACCTGGGCCCCTCACCGGGCATTGCCATGCCCATGAGAGGAGGTGCTGCAGAGAGACATCCAGGCTCCAGCCTTGCCACCCAACTTTCCCACAGGCTCTGCTTTCTCTCTTCCCTTTTGGCCCCGAGTGGAATTCTCCTCCCCCTCTATTTTAATCCTATCTTCTGGGAATTTATAGATCAGGAGGGAGAAATGAGGGATAGGTATACATGCACCCACTAATAGGCACTGAGCACATATTGACACAAGGTGTAATCAATCTGGAAGCTAAAAAGAGCTGAACCAGCACAGGTCAGCCAGCCAAAACCCACAAAACCTCGTTGGGAAGTTTAAACAAGCCCTGCCTGCAGCTGGGAGCAGGTTTATCCCTGCCTCCAGCAGCTCTCCCTGGGGAAATATCAAATGAGATGCAATGGGAAAATAAGGAGGGTAAATAAGGAAATCCCTTCCCAGTGTGGTTGTGGTGCAGGGAGGAGCTGGACCCATATGCATCTTCAGAGATCCTTGAGGCATCTCCTCCAGGCCTGCCTCCATCTCTAAACCCCCCTGGCCTCTCCTCCAGATGTATCCCATCTCCTGTGGCAGGAGATGCTGGGACCCTGCAGCCCCCCATGTTCCCAGTCAACCTGAGCTCCACAGCCACCGTGGGGACCTGGGTGTGGGTCCCCACCTTGGATGTCCCTGTCCCAGAGTGTTCCTGGCCAGAGTGGACCCCCCTGTCTGATCCCCTCCATCAGCTCCAGCAGATAAACTCCCGGGCTGGGACCAAAGTCTGAGCCCCTCCCCTGGTTGCCATGGAGAAGGCTGTAATGGTATTAGGAAAAGCAGCAAAATCATTTAAAAGTAGTTTTTAAACCTATTTAAACTCTAAGGAATCATTTACCTTTTCCAGCAGTCCTCTTGTGCCTGCAGGTCCCTCCCCACGGAGCTTCCCAGTCCCGCTGGGTGGGACAGGCCACCAGCTGTCCCTGTTGTCCCTGTTGTGTCCCTGGGCTGGCTGAGCTGGGGAGGGGACAGTGCTGGGTCACATCTGCTGTGGGACCCTGGCCAGGGTGAGTGACCAGGGACACTCTGGACACCAGCAGGGGCAGCAGCCACCCAATGAGCCCTGAGAGGAGCAGGGAGGTGACACGTGTGGCGTTGTCACAGCTAAGTTAGGGAGTATTTTTAGCAAATCTTGCCGAATATTGTCCCTGTCTGGAGGAGAGCATCTCGCGTTGCCAGGGTAACCAGCGCTCCTGCTCCTTGTTCAGGACCGAAAACGTGGCCCATAAAGAGGAGGGGGTGACACCAGCACCACAGGGCTTGTGCCACTCTCCTGGGGACACCAGCAGGGACCAAGCCCCAGGAGTGGCCCTTTGCCTGATGCTCACTGACCACCCATGTTTCTGGTCATCCTGGTCCCTGCTGCTGGAGATGGGGACGGGGCAGTGATGGCAGCTGCTGGTAAAGGTCCCCATGGGCATCTCTGAGTGCCACCTGCTGCCCTGCACGGCTCCAGAGGCTCCTGCGGGGGGCTGAGAAAGGTTCCTGATGTCCTGGCAGCTCCCAGGGGTGCCACTTACTGCCCTGGAGCCCACCTGGCCACACGGAACCGCGTCACCAGTACCAGCCTGGCCAGACTGGTTGGACTGGGAGAGGTGAGGACATCCCCAAGATATGACTCAGGGTGACCAGGGCCATTGCTGTAGGCAAAGATGGGAAAATTCCCAAACACTGAGGTGTGGGGAAATGAAGGGGCCCTGGGAGCGGGGTTCTGGAGGTGCACGAAGGCAGGGAATGGCAGGAGAGCAGTGGTTGCCAGAATGAAACTGGACTGGGGGAGTGAGCAGAGGGAAGGGAGGCAGCCAGCTTGCCTACCTCACCCTGATGGCAGCGCCAGGGTGGGCAGGGAGAGGGGAATGGTGTTTTACATGTCCCATGTCCCTGTACATGGAGGGAGCAGCCTGGGTGGAGGGACGGGGTGGGAGTGTGGCCGAGGGAGCACAGCTTTCCTCCTGCCCCTGATCACAAGGCCACAACTCCACCCCACAGCCAGGGCCTCCCTGCCTGCCCCATCCCAACTCTCCTCCCAGCCCTGAGGGGAAGCACCTGGAGACGCCAGGGGGTGACAAATGGGACATGGAGTGGCAATAGGTGCTGGCAACCCACAAACCCAACATCTTCTGTCACAGGAGGGGTGTTCAGCAGGACAGGGAGATGACTGTCCCCCTCAACCCCCCTCTAGTACACAAACATTCACCCCTGGGATCCTGGGACAGGGCAGACCTGGATGGGTCAGAGCAGACCCAGAGGGGACCCTTGAGATGGTTGGGGGCTGGAAGAACTTTTCCTGTTCTTTCTGGGGGAGCTCAGAGAGCTGCTGCAGCTCCCTCCTCCTCTGCCTTTTCCAGGCTGAGAGAGCTGGGGCTGTCCAGCCTGGACAAGACCTTGCAGCAGCCTGAGGGCTTGAGAAAAGCTTTTTCTCAAGCCAGGAGAAAGGGTGGTGATTTTAAAGAGGGAAGAGGGTAGATTTAGGTTGGATATAAAGAGCAAATGTGCCGGGGAGGATCAGTGGGAGCCAGGTGCCCAGAGGATTCCCCATCCCTGGGGCACCTCAGGCATCCCGGGTGACAGAGTGCTCCAGTGGCATCCCGGGAGGAATTTGCCAGACCCGGGAGCGGACGCAAATTCCCTTTGCTGGCGCTGGAAGCCAGATGGAGCCAGCATTCTGTCACTGCGCCACCGCCGTGCGGCTCTGCCCAGAGCTCGGGGCTGCTCCCCCCGCTCCGCTCGGGGGTCCCCTTGGGGACACGGGGCCATGTGTGACCCTGGCAGGGCTGGAGGAGAGGCGACAACAAACAGCGGGCTCGGCCCGGCCACCGCGGGCTCGGTCCTGTCACCGCGGGCTCGGTCCTGTCACTGCGGCTCCAAAGCTCCCCGTGGAATTCCCGTGGATTTGGGAGCGGTTCCATCTCTTAAAGCCGCATTCCCTGGGCTGGTTTAAGGTGTACCTGACCAAAAGAGTGAAAAGCCCTCAGGACAGAGCTGCGATTTGGGTGTGGGGCTGTTGTGTGGTTTAGTCCGGAATGGTGGTGGAGATTCCGAGCTGCAATGACACCCCAAGACTGCATTTCTCAGCCCGAATCTGCTTTTTGTGGTGTTGCTCGGGACAAAATTGGCTTCATATTCCCACCCCATGGGAAAAGTAGTCACTGTCATTCCTGGTGCGGGTACGGCACCTGCCACACAGGGGCGTTTGCATAAATGACACCGTGTTTGCATCTGTTAATTGTTAATTGTCCTCTGCCGGGTGGGACGGGCTCGCTGCGAGCATCCGAGTGACGGATGGGGCTGTTCCCCCCCCCCCCACATCAGGGTTTCGGCGTCCGGGAGAGCATCCCGGGGTTGTGGGATGGAGGTGCCCATCCTTGGGGTGTCCATGTGCTGCTCAGCTCCGTGTGCCCGAGCCCCCTCCGAGGCTCCCGAGCCGTGGGCAGGGTGTGAATTCGGCTCCGCGCTGGGTGTGAAGACTGTGAATTCTCATCAACACTTTCATTACCTTAATAAAATTACTTCAGGTCTGTTAAGTTCTTTTGCAGACAAACAAGCCCTAACTGCACGGTTTGCTCGCTTCTCCATCCCCTGACCCCCCCGAAATGCTCAGCCCCTGGCTCTGGCCTCTGTGCACCTTCACTGAGGGGCTCTGGGGTCTCCTCCAGCAGCCTGGGACAGGTGAGGAGCTCTGCTTGTCATGGAGCTTCTGCCAGGATGGCCCCTCTCTCTCTCATGTGCTGAGATCTGACAGATCCTGAGTTATTCAGAGCTCTGGGCTTTTTTGAACATTATATTGTCAAAGCTTCTTTTCTGTGGGAGACAGATTCTTACCTAAACTCACCCACTCTACAGAAATAGCAGCAATAATAAGCCTGAAATGAGGGGATTAAGAGCTGGAATTCATTTTAGAATCATGGAAGAGTTTGAGTTGGAAGGGACCTTTAAAAGTCTCCCAGTCCATCTGATTTTACCTCTGTTCAAGGTTTTCCAGGGTTATCCACGTTGCCCTGCACTGCCTGTTACCCTCACTCTGACCCTGGAGATTCTCAAAATACTTTTGGTTGTGGGATTTGTCCCATTCCAGCCTGGCAGGCCCCAGTTTAGAGCCAGCAGCAGCACCCAGACCAGCACAACCCAGATTTAGCACTCTCTGGGCTAATCCAGGCTTGTTCCAGTGCATGCTTTGCTTTAAAACATCTTTTTGCACACAGCAGCTCTGATGTGAAGGGGTGAGTCGGGAAAGGTCATTTCTGCCACCCAGAGATCCTGGGACCTTTTGGGCATCTCATTGGCACAGGAGGTTCAAGGACTGCAGAGAGCAAGAGGAAGTTGTCTGGAAGAAAATGAGATACCATGGGATGGGCTCAATTGGTTTAGTGGGTTAATTATTGGAATCGTGGAATGGTTTGGGTTGAAGGGACCTTATAACCCATCCAGTCCCACCCCTGCCATGGGCAGGGGCACGTTCCCCTATCCCAGGTTGCTCCAAGCCACATCCAACCTGGCCTTGGACACTTCCAGGGATCCAGGAACAGCCACATCTTCTCTGGGCAACCTTTCACCACCCTCTCAGGTGGTCCCAGGGAACAACTCCTTCCCAATATCCCATCTATCCCTGCTTTTTATTCATTCTAAATTTTCCCTCTATTCCTTTAAAATCCTCCCCTTTGTTCTATCACTGTGTGCCCATGTAAAAAGTCACTCTCCCTCTCTCTTGTTAGCCCCTAAAGCACTGGAATATCCCTGCACTGGAGATGGAGGCCATCCCTGCAGCCAGGTTTGGGAACAGTCCATAACCTCCTCACTGGTAATATTGCTGCCCTAAGGATGTTCCTGAGCTGCTTTTTCCAGTGTCTACTGTAAGCTGAGCTGGGAATACAGAAGCCTCCTGGGAAGTGCCATTGCTTTCCCTCTAGCAGCTCCCAGGGTGGCTGTAAGATTTGGAGCCACCTTAAAAATCAAAGTGGAAGCCGCACCCTCTGGTAACCAAAGTTGGTAGCAACAGTGCTGGACCTCCTGGGACAAATTCCTTAGAGATCCTCGAGTCCTTCCTTGGCTTCTCAGGCACTGCCTGCCCAACACTGTGCAAAGATCCTGGCCCCTGAGCACATGGATCTTGGAATTGTTGCAGAGAAGGAGAATGTGAGTATTCTGACAGGGCATCTTGCTGACCGAAAATACAGGTATGAAGGTCTGCAGCCCCTTCCCAGGTCATGGAACCAGCACTCCTACCTGCAGGGGAGAAATGGCAGCTGGAAAGCCTGTCTGGATTTGTTCAGCTTCTGAAGAGCTGGATATGCTGAGCTCTTCCAGCAGCAGGGGTGGGTGGGTGGCAGGGCAGGGGAGGGCTCAGCTGGAGCTGCTCTGTGCCTCCAGGTGCATCTGGAGGACAGGAACCAGGAAATGCACCAACTTGGAGACCCACAGGAGGAGATGGGGAAGCTGCCTGGATCCAAGACAGACTTCCCAGTCAGGATGGTCCTCAGTGAAGAGGAAAAGCTGAAGGTAATACTTTGGGAGCTGGAGAGAACTGAGCTGTGAAGCTGATTTGGGCCAGTCACAGTGGGAAATCTGGGGGGAAATTCCTCCTTCTAGAGGGGGATGTGTTGTGTTCAAACAGCACATTGGCCTCAGAATCCATCCAGGGCCTTCACTGACTTTTTCTCTCCCAGATTTCCAAAGACCTCGTGGAGCTCCAGATCGAGACAAACAAAATGAAGGAGCATTATGAGATTGAGAACTTTGAACTGAAAAACAAGGTACCCACATTTGGGAATAGACAATTTCAGCCCTTCCAATGCCTTCATGCAGCTCTGCAGCTCCTCACACACCCACCTTTACTTTGCTTGGCACCTTCTCCTGGCTTTACCTGGAGCTGAAATCCCCCCAGATCCCAAGGAGCTCCCATGAAATCACCTCCCTGTTGTTGCTGCTGGCCTGAGCCACGTCTAACCCTGCTGCCTGCCCTGTGCAGATCCAGGCCCTGGAGAGCCGGGTGCAGGAGCTGGAGCTGGGCAGTGCCAGGGTCACGGGGGAGCGAGATTCCCTGCGGGAGCGGCTGCGGGCCCTGGAGAGCAGCCGGCAGGAGCTGGCACAGGAGTTCATCATCCTGAAGAGCAATTACCTGGCCCTGGGCAGAGAGCTGGAGCAGGAGGTGAGAGAGGGTTAGGGTTCATCCCAGAGCTCATCCCAGGGTTCATCCCAGAGACCCCAGCTCCACCTCACGTGTCCCTGCTGTGCAGGTACCTTGCTTGGCTTTTGGTCACAGCTCAGGTCCAGAGAGGCTTCTCATACAATTGTAAAAAGGTTCTTGTTCAAGGGACCTCCCAAGGACACTGAGTCCAAAAAAACCATCCAGTTGCCCCTGTCCCAACACTTTCCACTGTCCCAGGCTGCTCCAGGCCCTATCCAGCCTGGCCTTGGACACTCCCGGGGATCCAGGGGCAGCCACAGCTTCTCTGGGCACCCTCCCAGGGAACAATTCCTTCCCAATATCCCATCCA